TTTACGTATGTACACACCATAAACGCACAAGTTGTAACAAACCTGTAACAGGCTTGTAGCAATGCTGTTCCAACAACTTGTCAACAGGATGTGTTCGCACTGCTTGTTCCCAGCTTGTTGACAACTTGCTACAAGGTTGTTGAGCTCAACAGACTTGTCCTGCAATTCAACAATTTGTCAACAAGTTGTGAGTGACAATCTTGTAGCAACTAGATAAAATAACAGCATTGTTACAACTTGTTGACAAGCTTGCTACAAGCCTGTTGCGAACACATCTCGTTGACAAATTGTGAGATTTTTACAAGTGTAGAAGTAGTTCTTCGGAAAAAAGCCTTCTTAAACTTCTTGTGATTTGATTAATTTTAGGTCCACTTCAGAATCAAGCCAGAGCGGCGTTCTACTGGCCAGGAAACCAGTACAACGGCGCTACTCCTCCTGGATTCTTTGCCAACGGAAAATTTTACGCCATCAATCCACAAATGATCCCAACTATACCTGGTAGACCTGAAATACCACCTACATCACCTACCGTCCCCGCCCTTACCGCAGCAACGAGCGTTCGCCCCATCCAAAACTCCGTGATTCAAAGCTCAACTGCCGGGGTTGTTACCTCCGCTGGGCATGTGGTACAATACCCGGGGGTGGTCATGAGTTCCGGTATCGAAAACCCCAGACTCAAAGTCGTCCCTCCGAACGTGACGGTTGTACCACAATGCCCAAGAGGACGTTCCCCTAAAGAAGTCAAATCTCCGGTGGTTAAATCCCCGGGTGTCAAAACCCCGCCATTGATAAGAAGCCCGGGTGGTACACAAGCCATATTGCCCGTACCAGTTTCCCAGGGAGACGCGGCCAAAAATTCACCGCGTGAAAATGGCGCTAAAAGTTCCGAAGCTCGAAACGAAACGAAAGCGAGTAATGCCACGGCTAGTCCCAGCAACCTCGTTTCTATTATGAAAACATCGTTACGGCAAAAACATTCCAAAGAAAACGTGCAACCGTTGCCCACCATGTTTAAAAATAAACGAAAACTCGAAGCGGATAAAGGCGACGGACCGCCCGCAAAAAAGAACGGGAAACCGACCATTTTTACGCCGCTCAACGAACAGGAAGCCGAGAAATTGGCGAACGATATCTACGATGTTAATTTGGAATATTTTCCGTTTCAAACGCTCGCGGGAAAAGCCGCGCAGAGCGAGGAAGCCTTGTCTGAGACGCCTGACAGGCCAGAAAAGACCGATAAAGTCAAAGAAATTGAAAAAGTCAGGTAGGAACTACTGCCTAACTTTATTTATACCGGATAGCTGTATCAGTTCTAAACTGTTCTCCAACTTCTCCCTAGAGGCACAGTAAGGATCATCTCGTATTGATCCAGTATTACTACAAGAGCTAACCTAAACTAAACTAACATTATTTATACTGGATAGTTCTATCAGTTCTAAACTGTTCTTCCTAAAGGTCCGGTAAGAATCATCTCTTATTGACCCAGTGTTACTGCAGGAGGAAACCTAAACTGAACTAACTTTATTTATACTGGATAGTTCTATCAGTTTTAAACTGTTCCTCCTAGAGGTCCAGTAAGATCATCTCTTATTGATCCAGTGTTACTACAGGAGGAAACCTAAACTAAACTAACTTTATTTATACTGGATAGCTCTATCAGTTCTAAACTGTTCTTCCTAGAGGTCCAGTAAGGATATCTCTTATTGATCCAGTGTTACTACAGGAGGAAACCTAAATTAAACTAACTTTATTTATACTGGATAGCTCTATCAGTTCTAAACTGTTCTTCCTAGAGTTCCAGTAAGAATCGTCTCTTATTGATCCAGTGTTACTACAGCAGGAAACCTAAATTAAACTAACTTTATTTATACTGGATAGCTCTATCAGTTCTAAACTGTTCCTCCTAGAGGTCGAGTAAGGATCATCTCTTATTGATCCAGTGTTACTACAGGAGGAAACCTAAATTAAACTAACTTTATTTATACTGGATAGCTCTATCAGTTCTAAACTGTTCTCCCTAGAGGTCCAGTAAGGATCATCTCTTATTGATCCAGTGTTGCCACACAAATGAAAGGCTAACTATAAATATTTTCATTATATATGCAACTATCTAAACGGAGATTTTCATTCTCTAGATGTCTACTCAAGGATTTCTACGATGTGACATCATCTTGCGCGGAAGATCCGGATATGCAGAAATTCGACTCCGCGTCTCGGAAATTTGGTCGCAAAAATATCCTCAACCATCTGTCGCTTTTGGATCGATACTTCGCTGAGCTGCAAAAGAAATTGGACACATAAGAAATGAGGAACATTTACTACGAAAGAAAGTAAACATTCAAACTTCCGTGTTAAAGTTAGTTGCAAACGCGCGCTTTAAACATGCGAGAAAGGGTTTAGTTAAGTGAATGCATGCGTGTCATACAGCCAATTCAAAAAAGGTTGTCATTTGCAAACCTTAAAGATGCGGTACAGTCCGTATGTAAACAAAGGCTTTGTTTACATTTCGGTATCAAAAATATTGAATTTTATTCGACAACTAATTACATTTTCATGATTCTAGAGTATAATAAATTATCAAGAGACAACAAGCAAGCTTTGCAAGAACATAAAATGAAATAAAAACCTAAATAAACTGTTTGTAAATAAAAAGAGGGCTCCTTTGTGCACATGCGCAGATCGGACTGTACCGCATCTTTAAACCTTAGACTTTGAGCGTGCGAAGTTTAACGAGAGCACAAGTTTCAAGCTTAGTATAGTTGAATATTGCATGCAGCTCTATTTGTGAATGAATTGTTGTCGTAAGGAGATGTTTATAGCATGACTCAAGAAATGGACCCTATAGCTATAGATTTCTAAACTGATTAAATTATGTTCCCGTCATGCTTTGCACGCTTAGAGTTTAAGGTTTAAGGCCGTAGAGTTTAAGGTTTGCAAAGGACGACTTTTTTGTATTAGCTGTATATACTAATGAGAACTGGTGGATTTATTTGTTATGGTGATTTGAAAAACACTTGCAATAGTTCCCAGATTGTGTTTAAAAACGAAGCCGATAAGTCTTTTTAATCACCATACTGAAATAAAAATTTAGGAGTAAAATTTGAGTCCGTTTATAACGAGCGGTCATTATTTATGGCGGGGGATGACACCGAAGACAAATGTTTTTCTTGATAAAAATTTCGCTGATCCAGTCATTGAAAAGTGAAAAAAAAATTTTTACCCAACCAAATATCAATTGGAAATAAATACCCACCCCTGGCCAAAAACTTTACAAAAGGATACCATTCAGTTGTCACACATGTCCTTTACCACTTCTGTGACACGAGTTTGATAACTGCTTGTGCAATTTTCTGCAGTCTAAAGTTTCATGTTGTCTGCACATGTACTTTCTTTGGAGACACCATTTGCCTCCTGACAAATCGGAAAATGATCGAGATAGTGACTCTGATTGATTTACATATTGTATTGACATATAGGACTGTTCAGTCTTCAATTTATGAGTGAGTCGTGCTTTGGAAATGACAATAAATTTTTATTACCCAACCCTTGAGTTGTTTTGTTTTTCATTTACCAAACCTTTTAGTCACTCAAAATTTTGTTTACCCAACCCTTTTCTCTTCGGTGCCTCGCCTCGCCATAATAATGACCGCTCCCTTGAGCAGGCGAGCAAAAAGATATATTAATAATGATATAAAGAAAAATATGTGTAAAATATTGTTAGATACTAGCCATGTATTGTGCAAAAACGGTAGAGTTCATATCCATTTATATGAAATCAACTGAATTTGTGCAAAGTAGATCTATATATATGATCGTATGTAGTTTAAAAGGTCAATTTAGTTGTAGTAGTAGTAAAAATTATTGAAATATTGGGGAAACTTATTAAAACACTTTAAAATTTGACGCATAAGTATTTTAGTGAATGCTTTCTTCTTTTTTTTTGAAGTACCTTTAGGACATTCAAGTCTTAAAGAATAAAGAGTCGATTTTTTCAATCTCGCATATTTGCGATGAAACGTTTTCAAAACCTAAAATCTTTTTGACTTTCCTCTCAAAATTACTTTGTTTTAGCTTTATCTTGTATAGTTTACACAGTTAGCAACTTTTTTAAATGTATCTGGCGGTTCATGAGAAACACAAAATAATAGTTAAATATTGCAATTTCAATACAATTATCATCAGTGATGCTGTAAAATTGACGCGGCCATATTTATACAGCAATACAAGCTGAACTTCAGACATCATTTTCTGTTTGGCGTACCATCTAAAATCTCTTCATTTTAGCATCATTTTACAGATAAAGCACTAAACATACTTTTTAAGTTTGTTTGCCGCTTGAGAAACGTAGGCCCTATCATGGGCGTACCGGAAGGAAAAAATTAGGGGGGCGGAAAGAAAATTTGCCAAAAAATTGACTTAATTTTAGACAAAATTCACAGAATTTGTCCCATTTTTTTTTATTGCAAACCGAAATTGCCCGACTGTTGATCGAATATTGCCCGACTGCCCAAAAAACTGGGGGGGGGGGACTACCGCCCTCCCCGCCCCCCGCCCGGTACGCCTATGGGCCCCATCAAAAATTCAAAAGCTGAATATAGCTCATAAGTCATAACCACTGAAGTCGGCAAATGGAAAAGTTATTCATTACGTAAAAACGCACAAGTTGTAGCAAGTCTGCAAACAAGTTGTTACAAATCTGTTCACAAGCTGTCAACAAGTTGTGTTCGCACTGCTTGTTCCCAGTTGTTGTAACAAATTTGAAACAAGCTGTTAACAACTTGTAACAAGCTTGATGGCATCAGTATCGGCCTTGTTACAAGACTGTGCTAACAAGTTTGTTACAGCCATGATATAACAAGGATGTTACAAGGTTGTCAACTGACAAGGTTGTAACAATCTTGCTATATCAAGCATGTAACGGACTTGTCAGAACAACCTTGCAACAAGTCAGATCATTTCGACAAGGTTGTTACAAGTTGTTCCAAACCTGTTGACAACTTGTGACAAGCAGCGCGAATACATCTTGTTGACGGCTTGTTGGCAGACTTGTTACAAGATGTAAGATTTTTGCGTGTGTAGTCGGTTTTGAGCGCGTGTGACGACGATGTAACATGTAAAAGATTCTCCTCTTATTAAAAAGACAGCTTTCGAAGTGCTGTCAAACTATGCTTTCAATTGACCACTTGCGTAATAGACTAAATTTTGATGTCAACAAAAATTTCATCACAGCTTGAAAGAGCATCACCAAATTAGTAATATTCCAAAGTTTCGTTGCGAAATGTTGTAAAATGCGGAAAATATAGCCT